GCCGCCGCCCGGGGGGACACGAGGGGGGGGGAAGAAACGGGGTCTTGGCCGGCGCCGCCGCGCGGATACCCGCCCGCGGCGACCGTTGGCCGCGGCGCAGCCGTTAACGGTCGTTCCCCCCTCCCCCCCGGCCCTTTGTGGGGCCCGAGCTGCCGCCTCTGAGGGGCGCCTGCTGTCCCCCCTCTCGAGTAAAAAGCAGCCTGGAGGCGCCGTTAATAACCCCCGGAGTATTTTTGCTTTTCTCCGGCCGTGCGAGGAGAGCGGGGGGGAAAAGCGAAGCTCCCTGCGCGGAAGTTTTCCCGCTGCGGCCCCCCCCCGCCCCGGGAGCTACGTTTTTTTGAGGGGGATGTTGTTATTCGGCGGAGGTTTAAGCGGGGGCCCCGGCTCCAGGTGCCTTTTGTTCGGCCGAGACAAAAAGAGGTCGGGGGCGGAGGACGGGGGGGTCCCTTGGCCCTCAGCGCCCTGTGCTGCCTGCTCGACGCAGCCCTTTCCCTTGTTCACGCTTATCTGTTCCTTTTTTCCTGCTAAGGTGACAAACAGGCAATGGCAAACCTCGTGGTTCGCTGTATTTTTCAAGTGGAGTGATAACTGGTTTGTGCTCTCACAAATGAGGTCCTGCTGGAGCAGAGTAGCTTTCTGTATGTTTTTCCTTATTACTTTCGCAATGTGAGTTCTGTACTTTAGAGACTTMCGTATATGTTAGAAAGGCACAGCTTCAATGTACCGTTTTACATACTTTGGAGARATGGGAAATTTGTGAGGAAACTGTTGTGCTATTTTCATACTGTTAACTACATTAGCCTTTCTACTATTTGAAAAGAAAAAATGCTGACTGGGATACCAAAGGCAAGGCTGTATTGGACCGTAATTGCACAATAACTGATAATTGCATGAGAGCTTTTATTGGGAATACAAAGGGATATTGGGGAAAGAGCTACTGGAAGTGTTGAGAGTAGATTCCTTACTGGTTACCCCTTCTAGTTTGCTGCAGAAATGGCTGGTGCTGTTTTGTAGTTTAACTGCCTTCGCTTCTCTCAGCTGCTTTTCCAGGGTAAGTAAACACTACTGCCAGGGGGCCTTGGTTGGCAGGCTGGCAACCATTCAAAGCAATGCCTTAACAAGTTGTTTGCTGTTGAAGAAGGTAGTTTCTAGGAAATAGTGTCATTTCAACACCAAAGTTGAAATGAAAGAGAAAAATGGTTGTGAAGGCAAACTGTCTTGATGTCACTGTAATTTGTAGGGCTTTCTTTAAAGTTTCGAGAGTGGGGAAAAATCGTGCTCAATGAAAGGTTTGTGTGCTTATTTTATCCGGTTTCCTGATGTGTCAGCCTGGCTGTTCAGCCTGATGGTAATGTTGCAGCTCAAGGGTAGAGGGAGATGAACTCTGGAGCAGAGGACATGCCACAAGGACTCCATGCTCCCACAGAGTGCCTGGAGGACCTCTTTGGAGAACATACTCTACGGTATTATTTGGGAAGCTGTCAGTTGAGATGTACAGCCTCTGGTTAACCTTGTGTGTACTTACAGCAGTTCAAAACTGTGTCCTGATATAGCCAAGGGATTGTGCTGGTGAGTTTGAGTGTTTGCTTGCAGTAATCCAGATAATTTGTGCAGTCAAGATGGTAGCATCAACCAAAAATATTATTATGCAGAGGAACTTTCAAAAAAAAAAATTGAACATCTGCATATATAAGCAACTGATATTGCACCTGATGTTGTTTTTGCTGCTGAGGACATGAACTCTTGCTGCCTAAGCACAACAGTCCCTGCCAGTTCTGTGACAAATTTATCTCTGAGTTCACTAGGACCAGAGTTTCTAATTCACCTTAAGCTGAGGAGCCTGTATTAGTTTACCATGTCGGGGCTTTGCTTTGATCTTTGAAGGAGAGGCAGTATGTTTTTATGCTGAGGAAACCCTTTGCTGTTACSAGCTCTGAAAACTGGAAAGATGTTGTTTCTATCACTAAATGTTCCTGCTGTCCACATATATAAGTTATTGCTTATCTGTGTTTTATCTGTCATTCCTATGGAGARCCATTTYCTTCAGATTTCTGTTCATAATTCTTTGTTTGCATGTCAAAATGAGTTTGTTGTTCTGTTGGCTACATACTGTAGATCAGAATGTACTAACATGGTAAATTTTCTGCTTGGTACTCTTATGTAAACGGGAGAAATGCAATTCCTTGTATTAATGACAATTTGGAAAAAAAGTGCAAAAATGCAATTCACTTGCTCATGTTACAAGCATGAATAAACCTTGGACTCTTTTGGTTGGAAGAATTGGTTTTGAACAGTAACAAAGTATTTTCTGACACATTTGAAGCCTCGTTTAAAAATAGCTGTTGTTTTTATCTTGTCAGGGCATAGTGCTTGATTGTTTTTTTTCTCCTGCAGCTCAGTAAGAAAAGAAGCATTCAAACATTTAAATATGCCATTGAACTACATGTCTTTGTTTTGATGTGTATCTCATGTAGATGTATACTGACAGAATATACCAACTGGAATCTTCATGTTGGAAATAACTTTTGGTACTGCAACAGATAAATTTGTCAAATATTATGGCTTCAGTTTTGTTTTTAAACTATAGTTGCATGGTCTCTTGGCATGGTAATAAACCCAGAGGAAAATGTTTGGGAGCCATACTGTGAAATGTTTGAGCTTGCTTTCAAAATTTGAGCGGTCATAGCASAGCAATATCTTTTTGTGTTAGAAAGGTGTGTAAAAATAGAATATATCCTAATCATAAAGCAACTTGTGCTTGCTTTGAGAAATGTTCTGATAAATATTTGTCTGCTTTACATTTACCAGACTTATGCAGAGCAGACTCCTTAACCAAGCACAGTCACTGCTTTTAGGTGCTTTTTGGACTGATGATTCCAAATGCTTTTAATCTTATAGCAGCAGTGTATGTATGGAGTTGTAAAGGAGTGAGTCTATGGTCCACTGTGCGTTTTGTGCAAGGAATTAAGAACAGAGCTGGCAGATTTAAAAACCTCTGTTTTGATTAATGGGACAAGAAAAGAAGAGGCTCTGATTGTGGTTGCTTGTGTCTTAGAAAATTAAAATGGCATTAGTGATGCTGCCTGCCRTTGATTTACGTCTTTTGATAGTCTCCAGGCTTCTCTAATTTTTGGATTTTTTTTTTTAGAATTGCAAATAAATGAAATACTTTTAGGGCTGATGTTAATGCTCGTGGACTTAGTATCTGTAAGTATGATGAGGAGTATCCTCCTGTTACCAAAGCATCCTTTTCAGTCTTGATCCAGTCATTTTTTAAAACAAAGCTCTGACTGCTAATGAAATATATTAACTGTTTAACTGCCCTTCCCAGATTTCAGAAGCAAAAAGTTTTCTTGTCACTCTTCACATTCTTTGATTAAGAGTTTATTCATATATTTTATGGAACATATGTTATATTAAAATGTTAGTGTGTGATGGTCTGCACATGCAAAAGCATTCTTAGTGTTTATAACTTACTGTATAATATATACTTTAAATCTCTGTTAAAGTTGTTGTCTAACAGTTTTATCATTGATCTAGTATTGTATGTTAGCTATACTTGGTTTACTGTTGCACYGTTTCCTTCTGACTAGAGGTATAGAATTAATTTATCCCAATAAAACCATGCTAACTGTGTACAGAGGAAGAGATGCTAATAGGAATATATCTTCTCATATTCTCCAATGATGAAAAATATTGCAGAACAGAATAAAATTTGATGTGTTTTGCTGTTCCTGATGCTTTTATGCTGTGACAATTGCCACTATTTCAAATGACTGATACTTGTGTTTGTGTCTCCTGCAAGCAAAATATTACTGTTTTTTAATGTTTTCATTAATATATGTTGCACCAATGTATACTGTAAATTGTAGTGCTGAGTCTCTTTTGAAACAGAATATGCACTGCTTTGAGGTAGCAATAGTGCTAAATCACCTACCTACATATAAGCCTTGCACCTGTGTTTTCTACACTATTGACTAAAGGTATTAGTGCAGGCAAGCAACTAGACATGCCCAATGCAAGATGACTATCTGTAAACCATGGACAAAGATGCTAAGAACTGACTTAAAATTACAGGAACATTTTGGGAGTTGACTGGTTGGTTAACCTTACATGCAGTTCTTGTGCACTTATTGACAAGGCTTCAGCACATCGTGTTTAGTAGCTCTTCATCCTTGTGCCTTGACACAGGATTTTCTTTCTTGTGAAGAGATACTTGCTCCTGTGTAGTGTATTCTTGGATTTAACTGCATTTTCTCTTGTTTGTGTACAAATACATGAAACAGTTGTAAAACTCTAGTTGCACAAGAGAGTCGTTACACTCRGCTCTTTTATAGCGCTCAGATCTGGACACTGACAAGGCAGTAGCCAGTCT